TTTTAACCCAAAAAAACAAACAAAAACAAACAAACAATGTCTTAGGGGAGGAATACATTATACATGTGTACATGTTTTTTTCTCGATTAGGCCCTTACTTGACTTGGGGGTCTCAGCTTTTCTTAGATACAAGTAGGGGGCTCCAAGGAAAAAAGGTTGGGGAAACCCTGAGCTAGGCTACCTCAACTGACCAGAAACTGAGTTTTACAAGTTACAACCCACCAGTTGCAGCAGACATGCTCACACATGTTAGTATCCTCTTCAGCAGGATCTAAAAAGGGAGATTCTGGGCAGGTTCAGGATTATTTCCCTGTGGCCAAAGGTATGGACTACCCAGTAATGAAATACACATAAACTACCTACAGGAAACAAAGGTGCATGCACACACACTGCAACAAAAACACACAGACACACATAAAGCTCAACAACACCAGAGCTCATGAGAACCATCTCAATGCTGACTGCAAGTCCAGCCTTGGTTACATCAGACAAACTCCCTTCTCTCACAGTCTCTTGCCGCTCACTTATACCTAAGAGACATCAAGACAGAGCTCTCAGTTCCTGCAGATCCTCAAACTGTGTTGTTTTGTTTAATAATGAACTCAACCATATGTTTTAAATGTGAGCCCCAAATCATGACCATTTTGTAGTCATTTATAATGTAGTATCCTCAACAAAATGACTATTAGTGTGCTATGTAGATGCTCTCTCACTGCTTAGCTTATTGCTGCACATTGAATATGTGCACTGTGCAAACAGTAAGCCGTGTGCACGTGTTTATGTCTGTGTACGTTAAGATTATTATATCCAAGCAGGTATGACTATTGTCAGGCTGTCATTACAAATCAAACACTCCCTTCATAGCAAGAAAACAAGTTCACCTACCCCTTAAACTACCAAAATAAACATGTCTTTGATTGTCAAATAAATTCAAATAGCACAGTCATGAAGAATTCCAAATGCATACTCTTCACTGTACGTGTTTAAGATTACCCTTGCTAAATGGTAAAGTAGATAAAATCTGCAGGTATGGGCCTAAACAAGAGGAATAATGATAGATGGTGATAATTACAAGCCCCTAGTTGGTCTGGTCAGAAAGGAGGGTGCACAATGACTCGCTGTGGCTTGAGGCAGAATCACTGCCTGAATAAGACTACAATAACGACTACTGGTTTGGTGGAAGGGTTGTAAAAATAGCCCCACTGGTTAGGGCAGGGCTGTAAAAAAAAAAAAAAAAAAGCAGGGACTACCTGTGTCAACATAACACCACACCGCAATAACAGCATCAATCCTCAAGGCAAATAAAGTTTAGTACCCCGGAAAAGTACCCCAACAAAAATCAAAGGAAAGAAGGGAGAGCGACTGTAAGTGATGGTAATCTCCAGGCAGTGATGAGGAGCCTGTGGCTCTTTATATGAGCAGAGGGACCTTAGATTTCCTTTTTTTTTAGCACAAATTTAGTGAAATCTTATCATCCATGCTAAGAGGACAAGAATTGAGATGAAAAAAATACTACAGAAGTAAAGCTGTTTATCAATAAAAAACTTTACACATTTGTCTGCACTGTGTAACATTATAAAGGATCCTTGGTCTGCATTGAACACAACATCAACACTGCCAATAGTTAAATTATGAACAGACTTTTTTTTTGTTTTAGTTAGTCCACATGGTTCACTCCTTAAGCAAATCAAACACGTTAAATAACCAAAGTTTACATTAGAGGGTGCAGAAATGGTTTTCTGTTGGCTCACCAGGATTTTCATAAATACATATTATGAATATTACCCGTACTAACACATTTCACCATGGCATTAATAGGGATTAATAAAGTATTTGTCATACTGATGTAACGCACATAATATCATGGGGGTCAAGACATTAAGTTACTTCGCTGTTTTGAAGTGAAACGCGTAATTTATGAAAGTCTTTATCCCAAACTTAAACAGCTAGAGACTTAAATAAGTCGACTGTAAAAGCAATGCAGCTCCACAGAAACAAGGAGCATCATAAACAAAGCAAGCAGCTGAAATATGAAGCTTACGCTGTCTGAGGACAATTATACAGAAAGTCAATGTCAGTATTTAAAACCATTTTAACAGGTCTTACCGTCGCGGACATTTCACTTACCTGTCTTGAATTGTTTTGGTAAACAAGCAGATGTGATAATAGGTTTATCAGACTCAACAGTCTATCACATGCGTTAGCTAGCTAGCCTAGTAGTATTTTACAGTATAAACTGGAGGGTTTGTGTGGTAAATATACTCACCGAGCTGAACCATTTGTCGCTGGTCACATTTGTATGTTCATATTGTTTACTGTCCGTGTATATATAGACCTATAGCTACTCGGTAACGTTTGCTAGTTTAATGTCTACCGAACAAAAGCTAGTGGCAAACTCACCAAACGCTACTGCAGACTACTGACGTCTAGTTATGATAGAGTGCCAGGTTTGGTTACGTCATCCTCCTAAAGCTGAGGAGATTCCGAGTTTAGGAGATTCTTCATACATTTCTGACGAGAGCCACTGCTTTATATAGTCCTGTATTGTATTCAAAGGACTGAAAAATTACTAATTAATTTATGGAAGGTTAAGTTTAATATTCCCCATTGAATGCAACCTTAATCATGATTTGTAAAGCTTTTTATCAAATCTGGCAACCCACAGGGCCCAAGTTACCACTTAAATTGAGCTGCAATTTGCCAGCAGTGGACGCTGTTTGCCGTCTGGACCATAGACTGTAAGTCTACACACTGAACTGTAAATAAGCAAGCCATACGGTTTTTAGTATACGATTTTTACCTTAAACATATAACACACTTCTGTCACTCATAGCACATTCAAATAAACCAAAATAAAGTTGCATTTTAACTATACAAGAAATGATGCTGTATTTAACCGTGAAAGTTGCTTGTAGGCTACTTTCTATAAAGTGGTTTTGTTAAATTAAATACTCTCTGCTCTACAAGTAGTTTGCATGTTAACGTTATCATTACCTCATACTTTGATGAACTGTAATTAAACTGTGTAGGCAATTTCTATTTTAAAAAGAAGTCTGTATTATGGTCAGTTGAACAAACCACTCTGTGCAGGAACTCATGGCTCTGTTCTGATATGTTACCATGCGAGACAATGATGTTCCACCTCAGGATGCTCTTGTCTACATAGTGGGCTAACGTGATATAATTTCATCAGTAGCAATGGGAAGTCTGCAGTTTTCACAAGAATCGAAGTTGGAACACAGCAGCACAACAGGGAGAACATGAAAACTCCACAGAGCTTACATTTACACAACTGAAGCACATTTTTTCTTTTAGGCCTTATTATAATTTCTCATCTCCAAAGCTTGACATTTCAGAGCTTTTTTGAAAAAAAATGGGGTTGGTGAGACGAAATCATTTAGCAAATGTGCCGTTGAAGGTTGAACACATTGCACATGGCACATTTTAACTTACGTTGCTTAACTTCCCAAATTCAAATGACAATTGTGACAAATATAAATACACACAGAATGATTTGCAAAACCTTGACACCCCATATATAGTTGTAAATGACAACATATTAAATGTTAAAACTTCAGTGTTTTAAGGATATTATTTGCCCAATTTGAATTTGATGCCGACAACATGTTTTAATAAAAATTAGGACAACAGCAGATTTTCCACAAAAAAACACAAAGAATCTGAATATAATATTGTCTTCTGTAAATCATATTAAAAGATTCAGAGAATCTGAAGATATCCCTAAATACAGGTGACAAGGCAAAAAAACAACCCATTCTGGTTCAATTCTGTAGTGGACATAATTGGTGGGGCTCAGAATCACAAAAAGTCTGTGAACACATTTCATCGCTGCATTCAGAAATTCTAGCTGATACTGTGCCATGCAAAGAAGAAACCGTATATAAACCAGATCCAGAAATGCCACAGCCTTCTCTGGGGGTGATATTATTGGTATTGGGGTGCTTTAAGTGCACATGGCATGGGTAACAGATGCTGCCAAATAGACAATTACTTAGATAAGGCTTTGTTTATTTCAACAAGACAACCCCAAAACACCTTCTGATCATTTTACAACAGCATGACTCTGTAATAAAAAGAGTCCAAATTATAAACCGGCCTTCCTGCAGTCCTGTCTTGTCATCCATCGTTTGGAGCATTATGAAGCATAAAATAAGACAAAGAACAAAGCAAGAGTGATCGAATATTGAATATTCATAATTACATAAATTGGTCTCCTAAGTTCCTAAAACACTTGTACTGTCCAAACAAAACTTGTTACTGGCATCAAACTCAAAACGGGGATTTCCTTTTTTTATAAACAATTACTTTCAGTTTGAACAGTTGATGTTGTCTTTTTGATATTTCAATTGAAAATGTCAACATTTGCAAATGTCCACAGTCTCTTTTATATACATGTTGCACAAAGTTCCAAACTTTTTGAATCTGTGATTGTAATAAGAAACAAAAATCCATTTATATTTTTAAAATTTACAACTGTGGCTGACCATATCAAATTATTACGCCTAATTTGAAGGCAGGAATTATTCAATGTTATAATCAATTGACTGAGGTAGAAGAGAAGAATAATTCAAATGTAGTAAAGAAGTCCAGGGCTGCACGGTGGCGCAGTGGTTAGAGCTGATGCTTCACATCAAGGAGGTTCATGGTTCAAGTCTCAGATTGTCAGCCCTGTGGTTGACTGGTGAATAGTCCAGGGTGTACCCCGCCTCTTAACCAGTGACAGCTGGGATCGACTCCAGCAGCCCACAAATGAATAGGAATAGCGGTATAGATGTATTTTTTAATATGTAGTTTTCATCATACAGACGAAACACAATCCAACCACAAAACAGATACCCCACATTGAGAACGAGTCTAATTATGACTCAATCTGTGACTCATTAATGTTCTAGGAACTCCGTGTGATCAATTGGTGCATCACAAACAAAGACAACAATTCTAACCAGACGAAGTGAAGAAAAAGAAAGCAATAGAAGAGATCAAGTTCGAGTGTTTTATTGGCACATACAACTCACTGTTTAAAAAAATAAAAAGTTAAAGGTGGAAGAATCAAAGTGTTATCATTCACTTGAACACAAAAACAAAACATGAACAACTGTTTTGGATAAACAGTGTTGAGTTAGCTACTTCATTTCAAACAACAGCATTGATATAAAATCATACAGATATATAAAAAACACAAACGAGATAGACTTTTACAAATGTGCTAACACTCTTCAACACTGCTAATGAACTGATTTGGTTCTTATTTCAACATGGTACATAATACACAATAACATATGTGGCTGATTTTTGAACTTTGAGTCCACACTGTTACTTTAAGTGTCTTTGAGTTGACCCTCTTAAAACAGGCTCAATGTTCATTTCCTATAGATGCTATGCTCTAACAGCCATCAGTGAACCGACAGCCAGAACTAAGGTCAGGTTATTGTCTACATATTGCAGAGAGTAGGACACCCTACAATTGTAATTCACCAAACATCTTTCTTTTTAGACAACCACAGCTTTTTTTTTTTTTTAATCTGTGAACGACTCTGTGTCTTTGAATTCTTTCAAAAAGAATGCACCTTTTTGAAGCTTCAGAGTGTGCGTAGGATATTTAAAAGACCTATTCTGAGAGCTGTTTCTGTTAAAAAAAAGTAAGAATTTGAGCATTCCAATACCAGTTCCCATCTTAACTTCACTTAATGTCTTACAAAAGCAATTTAGTCACAACCAGAGCTGAGACATTCAAACAGGTAACAGCAGTGGGACAAAGGAAAAGAAGCTTTTAAATCTGACTAAGATGAAAGGTATGAAAAGGACAAGAATCAAAGCATCAGCATCAGAGCATCCTGAAAGGAGAAAAGAACAAAAGAAAACAGAAGAAAACAACTGAGGTCAGCTGACATGGCTCGATTAAGTTTCCAGTACATGTTTAAAGTTCACATAGCAACACATTTTTAAGGCCTGAAAGCAGATCACAGCAAAACGCTTTTAAATGCAGCAAGTGATTCACTCTAGAAGTGTTCTGAAGGCACCAACATAACGATGCATAAAGGCTTCAGATAAAGGGACGATTACAATAATTGTAAACAACAGATTACTTTACTGTATAGAAGAAGTGCTATGCCAGATAAAAGGGAGAAAAAAAAAACAGGCAAAAAAAGGCAAATAGTCACATCATTTTACTTAATGGAGAATCATTCTTCATCAATCTTTTGAGTACGGATATGATAACCAAACACACTGCTGCATTATTTCTTCATTTGGCTTTACTCCATGTGTTTAAATAGCTCAGAAATTAGCTTCACTGTAAGTGCACACTTTTACCATTTACACCACACTTCTACAGAAACATGTCTAGTCTGATTTGAAGTTATTATCACACTCACATACATTTACAACCACCTTATGATGAAAGACTGTTTATCCCCTTATTGCAGGCTTTAGGACTGCATTGTACTAGTTATGATTCAGTCAAAAGCAGAGCTAAAAACCAAAGCTACAATCAGTGGTGTAGATGTGCCGGGTATACGCAGGTATACAGAGTATACCTACTTTTATTTCAGTCTCCATAGGTCATACCCACTTCTAAATCCCCTCTGATTAACACCATTGATTGATTGACAATATTCAGTATGCTGCAATTTTTGTTCCTCGGATGGTGAAGGGATGACCCTCCCTACGCCGTCTCTATTGGCTAGTACGCACTGACTTACTGACTTACTATGCAAGAGGAGTCTTACATGTCACTGTTTACAATAGAGGTTTTTTTTACTCTGCTAGAAGGGCCACTTACAAAAAAAAACATTGGGGGTAAAAATTAAGAGCATACCCACTTCTTTAAGCACCACTGGCTACAATCCACTGTTCATTCACCATCTACCATTGGACTTCTCATAGAGCTCAACTACTGGAATTCATTGAAATTTAAGTGCATTTACAAACAAAAGGTAAGAAAACACATCAGAGACTGTGGGCATGGCTGCATCATGTGCTATATTAGAAAACAAATACACCTTTTTAACCAGACAAATAGTATTAATTGCATAATTAAGTGTATAAATGAGTAACATCTGCCCCTTACAATAATGAGTCTGTGTGTTTTAGAAGAATACATTTACTTCTACTACATACGTCTTGTATGTATGTAATATGTTGCTGGTGATTGCATATCTTCGATTCATTTGCACCAATTATTTAATGATCCATGATCAATGTTTATGAGAGAAGCCATTCCTAAATCAGTAATTATAACTACTTGTTTGTTTTAAAGCACCGTTCAAATTTGAGAAAATCCTACGCTTGTAAGGATTGTAGTGATTGTGCATGAAAACCTGACGTCACTGAAGTATGACATTCTGTCGTGAGGCTTCCACAAATTACAAATAATACTTTGACCGAACAGCTAAACCTTTGTAAATGTAATCGTTACCTTATTTCAATGTTATATGCAGGTAATCATGAAGTTTTAAGTGAGTGGTAAAAGATGTGATTATTAACAAATCTAGCATTTGGTATTCCATATTCAAAGTCTTCCCGTTTAATATACTTAAACTACATTTTGTTTAGGTGTCTGATCACAAACCTTTAAAGATCCTCAAACCAAATGGGTCATTAAGTAAGCAAAAATTAGCTCAAGAAGAGACTCAAGTAACTATTTAAACAACCAACTTCTAAGTAAGAACTTGTTTGTGTGATGCAGCCTGTTTCGATTGAGGGATATTGGAAATCTTGAATCTGTAAACACATTATAATCAAGGCTAACTTTTAGGTTACAGCTAAGAGCTAGTGCAGTGGGTAAATACTGTAAAACTTTGCATGCACAATGTGTGTGTTCTCCTGTAACAGGCCAGGATCATAGCAGGTATTTTTCTTGTAAAAGGGAATATATTGATCTTAGAAAACCACTGGGGGTAACACTGTGTGGGCTCATGTCTGATAAAAAAGCATCACAGCAGCTTCACAATTTTTGACAGCTTTAAGCAATTACATTAACAGAGCAATGGTGGCAAGATTAGATAAGCTTAGAACTGACTTTAAAATATTCTGACCTGTAAAAGTGTGGTTTTGTTGCAGTGTGTTTCAATTACCCACATCGTAAGAGAAGGTCTGTACAACAATAAATTCACAGCAATATTCAATCCGGGAGGAGTGAGGGGAATCACCCTCCCCCTTTTCTTAAAGTATCCTTTTGTAGAACTTCAGTACCCAAAACTCTGTTCAACAGATCCTTGTAGAAGGTCATTATCCAGTGACCATTAGAAGGGAGAATAATAATCATGTCAACAATAATAAATAAATATGAGAGACACAGATTGAAAGAACAAAGGGAAAGGAATACAATACACCATCCTTTCAGAGAAAAGTGAAGGAATGGATGGAGAGATGGAGATGATGTAACCTCTTCAAACTGGTCCTCTTCGGTTCCCATCAGAAGACATACCGCTTGTAGGAATCGTTAGATTACATTGTCTTTGTGATCACGTTGGACTTTGCAGCAGTAACTTTCCTGTCAGTCTTTGATTCAGTCAAGTCATTGTCCTCTCTTTCTGCCATTTTCATCTCAAACACTGGCAGGAACTTCAATGGTAAAAGCTCCGTCATTGTGCTGTTTTAATCATAACGTACGCTGGCTGCGACAGTGGTTTGCCAGTGACAGTCCACGTTTCAGCCGTTGTACTGCTGCTGATAGCGACGGTTCAGCTCGCGCAGCTCCTTCTCTCGCACCCGCCGGGCTTTGTTGGATTTGGTGGAGCGGCTAGAGCGAGTGGATTGGGCCGACTTGGTGCTATGGCAGCGTGAGGACGCCCGCTTCAGGAGGTTCTGAGATATACATCGCTGTAGGTTCTTCATGGAGGAAGAGGCAGCCATGCTGACGATCCAGGGGTGCTTGAGGGCCTGCCCGGCAGTGAGCCGCTCGCTGGGGTCCACTGTTAGTATCCGCTCCACAAAGTCTTTGGCCAGGTTTGACACACTGGGCCACGGCTGAAGAGGGGAGACATGAGTTAATAAACCGTAATGCACTGTAATTAAATAAAAGACTCTTTTCATGTGCAATGACTTTCATACAATGTACCTGGCCATATTGTGATTTCTTTATCATGGGTAATGACTATTTTCATTTAATGTGCAATATAACTTTTTATATTTGTGATCTAGTATGTTTGAATGATTATCATGTGCGGTATTTCTTTTCCACGTTGGGTTGTTATCATGCTCATTATCCCTTAAGCAATATTCCTCTCAGAACTCAATCACCTTCATGTGCAACATCACTTTTCTATATTATCATGTACAGTTATGTTTAACATCATAAAATATCATTAATCTGCTGATGTCCCAGCGATCACTGCCCATCTGTCTACACAGTTTAAGGTGTGTTAGGGTCATTAGGGGCCATGTAGTATTGGCGTTGTATTTCATGTATACTTGATGCTCTTTTGTGTTTCACTTTCTTTGTACTGGAATGTTGAAGCAGCCTGACACCAGAATTTCCTTTGGGATTAATACACTCCCATCTTATCACATACTGAAACTTGAGAGTCAGTCTCAGGACACAGCTGTTACACTGCTGATGCTACATTAATTGCTAAAAGGCGCTGCGATAATTGCTGGAAAACTATTTGAATGTAATTACAATCATCTGTGATCCTCCTGCTATGGAAAGTCAAAATGTGTAATCTGCCAACACTTTTGCTTTACAAAGGTGAAATCAAATGAATAGAAAGTACAAAGTAGGGAGGGACAATACCTCGACGGGGAAATTATTTTTTTTAATTACTGTACATGGCAAAGAGTGACATTTTCAATGTTATGATTAACAACATTAAAATGACTAAAATACATGACAATTGATCCAAGATTTTCTCAGAAATAAACTTCTACTTTAAATCTCAGCGTATGAGCAAATCTCACTACACTCGTGTACTCTGTACAATGGAAATGGTTGGATTCCCAACCAGGTATGTTTGGTTCATGTCATAAAGCATGCTTATGAAATCAACAAAACATACCTGATTAGGAGGCCACTCTCTGACTTCAGTGAATGAAACACAATTTAAAAAATAACCTTGTCAGATGTCAAACTTGAAGGCATTGTTCTGCATTATGAAGCTCACACAAGTTAGGTAACAATTAACCAACTTAATGAAGTTTAATAATAGTGGCAGATGTTTAAAGTCTGTTTGGCATCAGTAGAGTTTCATCAACAGAGCACAAGAGGGCAGCAGAGTCATGTCAAGCTGGACGGATATTTCTGTGAGCTCTGAACTGAGATGTTGTTCTAGGTGTTTGTTATATTCAGCTATATTTTAATGAGTCTGCATTGCCTTTTGGTAAAGTCAGATTCTATCATTGGTGTTGGGTAGTGAGTTGAGTGTTGTTCTGTCTGATTTGATTTCTCAGCATTGCTTGAACTCGTACCAAAGGTGATACATGAAATACAAAAAGTCCTTTAAATCAAATATTCTCCATTACTGCCGTCTACTTGTTTTCGTTTCAAACACTAAAAGTGACTCTATTTACAACAAGTCACTTTTAGTGAGTCAAACTCTACCCCCTACTTAGACAGGAATTGGGAATATCAACTCTGCATGACTTTCAACAAACACATACACGCACAGTTGGTACATGATGTCCTGCCTGGCAACCAGCAGTGTTTCTGTCTCACCAGTAGACGACTCATGAAACAGCAGGTAAATCACCAGGGTTGGCTAAAGATACATGACACAACAGACGATAGTCTCGAACTCGAGCTCTTAGACCGCTCTGTAATGTGACCATTATTTATCACAGTGTAAAGAAACATGTCCCCAAGGAAAGAGTGTTCAAGTCTGCCCCCATCTCATTAAGCCTTAGGCTTGGATCTTTTTTTTTTAAACTAAGGGCAGAATGCAATGTCTTGTACTGCATGATTAAATTCACACCTTCATGAAATATACATACACTAATACACACACTGTACACTATCCCACATTAGTGAATAGCTGGTGAACACAGTGAAGCATGTAGCAGCTTAACATCTAGCTATTACCCTGAAATCAAAGAGCAGAATAAAAATAATGAACTTGGAGGTCCAGATACAAGACTTCTATGAATGGGAAAGATGCAGCACATGACCTGGAGGCCTAAATAAGCCTATTGCCATATCAAATATCAAGGTTATATCATGTCAGTGTTGGGATAGCACTTTTTTGGCGGGCTTCTTTTAAACTCAAAAATACATTTTTGTGTATGACGAAAATTGGCAGATTCCACTCTTGGAAAACAAGGAAACACCATCCTTTTAAGAATAAATAATACATGATGAGGACATTTACTTTCAGCTGAGTTTATACTGTAGTGTCTGCAACAACCAAAAATGTAGGCTCAAAATCCTCAAGGGTGAAAATTCAGATTTGGTGTTCCCAGGGCGTTAGTGGAGTTTTTCAAAAGGCTAGTTTGCTGACATTACAGGTACCCAAGGCCCCATGTCCACCTAGCGTTTTTTTCCAGGCAGAAAAGCTGCTGGCTGTGCGCTTTAGAGCTCTTTCATGGAGCATCTGTGCGCTGAGAAGAAAAGTGCTGCAGGTCTGTCCGGTCTCTATGACAACAGTCTGTTGATGACAGCCGATGTACAACCGACACTGCTCCGTTACTTTTTGCTGCATTGACTTATTATTTAATAAAACAGTTAAGACCACAACATCTCAACTCAACTTCAGAATGGTTGACTCCACTGACAAGCTCTCTAACTTATTCAGAAGAAGAATTTCTGTACATTCCTAATCAAACTGCAGCTCTACTACACTATTTGCAAACCTCAGCTAGAATACAGGCTCCCTGGCAGAGAGTTCAATTATTTAATGTGTCCGATGTGACCTCTTCCTACCTTTTAGACACTTGAGAAGTTCAAATCTGAAACCCAAGTAATACGTGACTCAATTGTTCCCCATTAAATATTACAAAATTGCTCAGCTGTTATTTGTGCTGGAGAAGCTGTATGTGGGACAAACATTAACCGAGGGGCCCTTTAGTAAAAGCTCCATGGCATCATAAACATCCCACGCTGTGAAACAAAGGAACAGACTACTAAGCATTCTTTCAGCTAGAGATACAGATAGAGCATAAATTATTGTGCAAACGTACACACGCTTAGGAGGGGTATTGACTTGAGGGTGCGGGGGGGGGGGGGGAGATAAAAAAATGAGAGACAGTCTGGCAAGATTAAAGGAAAGAGGAGAAGATATTGAAATAGTGGTGAGAGATGAGGAGTAGAAGTCTAGCGACAAAGACTGGTTCTCTGTGAGGTATGTGGTCCAGATATGTGTGTGTGTGTGTGTGTGTGTGTGTGTGTGTGTGTGTGTGTGTGTGTGTGTGTGTGTGTGTGTGTGTGTGTGTGTAAAAAGTGAGAGAAAGATAACACCTCACCTCTCCAGAGAAGCTGTACTTTCCCTTGAGGATCTGCCGGTAAAGCCTCATGCGGTTGTCGTCCTCAAAGGGCATGGTTCCGCTCAGCAGGATGTACGATATCACTCCCAGCGCCCACATGTCTACGGCGTTTGTATAGGGCTTCCTCACCAAAATCTCAGGGGCAATGTACTCTGGCGTGCCACATGTTGTCTTCATCAGACACTCGTCTCCCTTCTTCCTGCTACTTGCCAAACCAAAGTCTGTGATGATGATCTTGGAGTCGGCTCCAGGGTGGTAGTAGAGCAGGTTCTCTGGTTTCAGGTCTCGGTGAGTTATACCCAGAGTGTGCAGATACTTGACGCCGTCGAGCACCATCTGCAGCACCCGCGTGGCGTCCCGCTCTGTGAAGGAGCCTCGCGCGATAATGCGATCAAAGAGCTCTCCGCCCGTGGCCAGCTCCATCACCATGTAGACACGCTCCACTGTCTCAAAGACCTCCATCAGCTGGATGATGTTGGTATGACGGACGCGGCGCAGAACGCACAGCTCCGACTCGCACACCTCCCTCCCCTCGCGGTAACGGGTCTCAATCATCTTGATGGCGTAAGGCTGACGCGTGCTCTTGTGCTCCACACGAACTACCCTGCTAAAGCTTCCCCGACCTATCAGAGCTTTGATGTCGTACTTGGCGGTAACCCGGGGGTCGAACTTGGCTCGATATTTTGCCACCTTCTTCCGCTGAGGGTCCGACAGTTCAGACGGGTCCTTTGGGGGCTGGGCAGAAGCAGCGGGAGATGCAGCCTGGGCTTGGGCCTGGTAAGGGGAGGTGGTGTCAGCCTTGTGACCTCCCGCTCCGCCTGACGCACCCGTCTTGCTCCTCGTGCCATCCCCTCGTATGAAGTGCTTATATATGTCTGTCTGAGGAGGCTGGGGAGGATCAACCTGAAGAATACAGGAACACAGTTCATCACCAATGACGAAAAACAGAGAAGAACAAAGGATGAATTATTTGACTGATGCTGGATTTTGGAGGCAAATACTGACATTGATTTTTGGTAGTTTACGAAATTAACAAAAATCAGCCAACATCAGTTATTGTTCACATACAAACAATATTGCTACAAATAATTAAGTTAAGATGCTTTTTTCAATTTTCATTGTGTCAAACATTTACCCTAAACAAACAGTATATTGGCAGTTCACAGAGTTATTTTAACTTATTTGCAGAAACATTTACTTTCCACAGGTGGTGAGATGTATATAGAATAAGCTAATACTGTCTAACTTGATGCCTGAGCAGTTCATTACTCGCATTCAATCTAATTCAAAACCTAAGTTGTATTAAAATTGGGTTAAAAGCAGCGTATATCCAGCACAAATTGTCAACAGGATGCACCCTCTGAAACTAACAGAGTTGTTTTTACCAAATGAAATGTAATTCACAGGGACTTTAAGAAATACACAGATCTAAAGTAAAGAGTTGACCCACTAACAAACTTGGAAAAAAAAAAAAAAGTCAACACGATTTCAATTCTCAATTAATTCTCAACTGTAATGCTGCCTTGAGTTGTTTATTTTGGCTTTCGCCGTCGTTCATCCATCCATCTCTCTTATTAGGGATCAGATGTAACCGTGTTTAGAACAGAGGGTTGAGCTGCAGAACAAACAAGGGGCATGCAAACACTGAAGTTAGCAGCTAATGTAAGCTAGCTGTGATTAATGGGAGCATCCGTCATTCACAGTGGCTTCAATATAAGTTGAGATGCTTATTTTTCAAAAAAAAAAAAAAAGAAACTTTTCCAGGTCGCTGTGGTCATTACTTGTCAATCGCAGGTAGCCACGCCCTAAAACATACCTTCTTATATTGTTTATGAAAAAACAATATTACAGGGTTTCTAAAAATCAGTGAATGACATGTACAGATTGGCTCAACTTGTCGGACGCAGTCTATTACTTAATATGATGTAAATCAACTCTTATTAAATATCATCAATACAAAACCTGGCAGTACTGTGCATGACAGTGTTGGTTTCACTCTGCAGCTACTAATACAGTTGTAACACTATCAGCAGTCGCTACTTTATCAATCTAACATTTTCCTACTAACCTTTTTAACCAGGTCCAACTGGACATCCCCTGGAGGCTCAGGGAGGACCTTACTGTTCCTGCACCCCATCACATCACTTTGGGCCACTGCCCAGCAAGCCACACAGGCCACCAGGAGCCCTGCCTCATCACCTCAACAGTCGATGCAACACACTCGGGGCACCCAACATCCAGGCCGTACCCAGACTCAGACACAGGGTTCATGAATAAAGCTGATAACATCCACCCAAGTCCCAAACAAATGGCATCAGCATTCACAGTTCTAAAAAAAAAAAAAAAAAAACAAGCAATAGGCTGCATCCCTTAGGTCCAGTTCAGAAGTCTAAGAGCTCATGAATACAATTTGGGCATGAACAAAAAGGGATGTCTCGCTTTGCTTCCATGAGAGGAGAGTACAGCTGGCTGTCTGCTGCTTATGTTATTCCTTTACGGGCCTGTGACTGTGAGTGCGAAACACACAGCCAGGCTGCACAGTCTGCAGGCAGGGGGTACTTCAAGCCCCTGGAAGAGCCTACCAGGGCCCCATCTCAGATGGCAGAATACGTTCAATGGCTGAGAAAAAAATGCATGAGTACAGTTAGAATCGCTGCTTTGAAAAAAGAAAAATCAGGGCAGAAGAGGGGGGGGGTGTCTTTGCTTTCAAGATGAGCACAGTGCGATTCAGGCAGAACTTCCACAGAAAATAAGATCACCAACTGTGCTTCAATCCATTGGGAGAAGCTGCAATGTCAGCAGTCGTCTTGCCACAGATCAAGCAGCTCCCCCAGCGAATCACAGACTGGAGAGCAGTGGAGCTCTGAAATGTAGAACACAGTATCAAGTATGAGTCTTGAGTGATTATGGTCACAAAACAAGTATGATAAATGCTGATGTGACAGGAGTAGCTTTCATTTGCGAAGATCACTGAAAGGCAAAAGCAACAAACCGAAGCACTTGTGATATATATACAAAAAAAAAAACTATTTTTGTGTCGCTGTTGCGTGATGAGGCCATATTGTGAAAGTTCCAGCCAAAATATGATTACAGCTATCCATTGTGTTTGGAAATGGCCAAGAAAACAATGGGCAGCTAGCTTTGCCATTGCAGGAAATAGAAGCACAATCACAGATGGTCATTTAATCCTAATATCAAATGTTGGATATGAGCCCGAAATATTGACAGACGAAAGTTTCCTGTACAAAATGTTTATCAACTTAACTGTTCAGTTCAAATGCAGCACAGAACAAACCAGAAAGAAAAAAAAATCACTCAAAAACATGCATCATGGTTTTTTTACACAAAGAAGGAACTACACGACTTGAATCATATCAGACATTTAATTAACATCTTTCTTAAAGTTAAGATTATTTTTTTTAAACACAGCCAGGCCCTTGCATTATTCATGCCAATATAAAATAGAAAGTTATCATTCGGCAAGGTCAACAATATCGATACAAAACTCTCCAAAGTGACGTCGGCAACAAAGTGTCAGAGTGACTTTGAATCTCACCTCATGTCTTTTACAAAGTAGCGAAGTGTCTTAGCATGCTAACTAGCCTGCTAACAGCAGGGCAGGACTCCCAACTTTGCCAAATCCAGCCTTCTCACCCCACTCTCACTCAGCTGGGCTCTCCATTTTCACCTCGTATTTTCCCAACTTTAATCCCCTTGACAAACAAGGCAAATCCGCCTCCTTCACGTGGAGTACAATTTTGAGTCAATTTTGAAGTTTCATGGTTTGTCTGGTGGATGAAGAGAGGAAACAAAAACACGCAAAGTTTTCCCGTCAGTGGCTTTTAAGTACGGTGTTTTTCGATCAAGACCACCTTCCCACAGTCCGAGTGACGTCAAATGTGACATAAGCAGACACTGCTGATCCGGTTTGTATTTTCAACATTAAAACGTCGTCCAACAAAATTGTTTTTTGGGTTTTTTTTTTTTACAGAGCTAGTGCAGGTCTAACTTAGACCGTGGCTTTTATTTAGGCCAAGCAAGTAAACTCCCACCCAAGTTTATCCAAAAAGCTAAGCCATCTATGCCTACTCTCCCCAAGTGTCAATACGATTGGGTGTCAAGAAAATCTCAGCTAGGCCTACTTCATGTTGTCAATATGCATCCCTTGTGTTGTTTGTGTGTGTGTGTGTGTGTGTGTGTGTGTGTGTGTGTGTGTGTGTGTGTGTGTGTGTGTGTGTGTGTGTGTGTGTGTGTGTGTGTGTGTGTGTGTGTCATCTAGCAAGTTATCAAATATGTTACAGCTGGATCTGCAATGGCTGGATTAACAGGGTCAGTTTAATTGTTTAGGAGTGTGCAGGATTTAGGATGTTATGGACCAGCAACATGTGGCCGTCTTGAGAGCGTCTTAACTTAAATCCTTTAAAGTGTGTATAAATGTTGCACAGCCTTTTTGTTGAAATAATGTTCCAAAAAAATTGAAGTCAGGTTGTGGCGTTGCCGACAAAACAATTGGATTTTGGAATGGGAGTGAGTGGAGTGAATGATGCTGTCCCAACCAAGTAAAGTACTCCTTTTGCAATGAATGCGCGAAATACCCAACACCAAACAACATTGTAAATTTAGCCTACCTGTTTTACCTCTATGAGTCACATCTCTTATTTTGAAAGCAAGATCCTGTAACTTCCTCTGTTGCTGTATATGTCACTCGCAAACTTGATGAAGCTCAATTTCCACCCAACTTCTTTTGTAGAGACAGGACGATCTCCCTCGGCTTGTTTCGACCCCATTGAGTTATCACCGTCACTTCCTGGATACGGAGAGGAGTCGCACCGACAAAGTGCTGACTTCTCTGTCGGAAAAGTACCAGTAAGTCTAAAAGGTACGTTCCTATAGCCAAAACGTCAATTCACCATAATGACTCCAATTTGACCCGCATATGATACGAAAACGCCCCAAGTCAAAACATCTGATTTTTCAGGATGTTAGATAGGCTACAGATATATTTTCGTTACATTTTTCCTAGACAAATATCAGAGCAAAATTATGATGTGGAAAAAGTATTCTATAGGATATTGTAAATTATTTGTTATTCCTTTAGGTGTCTCTCGGGACCCGTGTTGGCCTGTGGACTACTGTAAGGACATTATCCATTTCATTCTATGGAGAAACAGAAGGATCCGATCAGCCAACATACATTCAGCACCAAGCCATGCCAGTAATGCCAGTAATGGCCTACTATGTGCAGGGACATGTAAATATATGTGTTGCACAATACATGAAATTGGCCATCCATTTGCACCTGCATGTGTTTTCATGTTTAACTTATGTATGTTATTAGCCCAAAATGCACTTCATTTCACTTCCTGCAGCATGCAGCAAATAGTTGCATACAGATGTTTTATTCTTTTACAGCGCATTTCCACATGGTGTCACTATACACATGAAAGTGACATTCAAGGCCAACTCATCCTGTGAGGCTACTTTGTAGTCATTTTATTAGGCTGACAGTTCTGTAACGTCCCAACACTCCTGCCTCCACAGTGCTTGTAAAAGTGCCGCGGATGAGTAGCATTCACTTTCAGCCTGCTCATGAACACGGTAATAAAGAATACATGGCCTCAATTTCCATATTGATGTGATAGAGTGAACTAAACTGACCATGGCCTGTACAAAACACAGCAGAGTTTTTTTTTTTTGTTGCATTAAAAGGGGAGAATTAGTTAGAGGAGGACAAATGTTCCAGAAAGAGAGTTGGCGATACAGTAAAATTCATCTTATGATGCCAATAAAAGTTCTTGAATTGGATTGAGGGAGTAGAAACGAGTGGGAGGGTGGGTGGGGTCGACAGAGGAAGACAACGGATGACAGATGGTGGGTACCAGACAAAATAGGGAGGAAGGGGCAAAGAGGAGGGAGGAAGATGAGGCAGCAGAGACTAATCAAAATGGAAAGAGTGGGATACAGAAAGATGAAGGAGGATAGAAAGACACAATGCAGTCAGGAAGAGGGGATGGAGAGGAGTAAAGAACGAGAGTCTCTGAGGGCCACTGCTACTCGGCCAGCCTCTCTGCTCTATCTGCAGTGCAGCTGAGGTCAGGGCCTCTCCAGCTCTGCAGCTGACTGCTTCATTCTCATACTTATGATTGATCACCGTTCTGTCGCACTCTGATTAAGATGCTTTGTCTGAGCACTCCCCTTCTATTGACACTTGTGTGTTTTCCTCTGCGTCGCACCTCTCAGCTCTGTATTCCACCCCTCTCCCTTTTACTTCTGCTTGTGTTGTCCCTTCGCTCATTCTCTTTTTTCCCCTTTCCCTCCCCCCCAAAGGTCAATATCATCTATTAGATTTAGATTTGCTGACTGCTGTGCTATTTATCCTTACAGAGGAAGAGGACTATCGCTGGTCTATTAAAAGCTCAATTGACTCTGTCTGTTCTCCAGCTCCATTTATATCCCCCTGATAATCCCCCCCCCCCGTTTGTGTGAGTGTGAGAAGGAGTTTTGAAGTGTGTGTGATTGCCATGTGTTCGTGTAATATTTGCAAAAAGGCTGTGGCGTGACGGTAGGGTGTACAGTGAGTTAGACGAGAGCAGAAACTCTAGAAAATGACATCCTGCGTCCCTGATGATCCCTGTTAGAGGATATTGCTATTCCTCTGCCCTCCCCCTCGCCCCTCCCCATCTCTAGCAGGGATTCCCCCTAGAGAGTGAGGGGAAGAAGAGAAAAAAAAGACAGAGACTGCAGCCCGCCGTCTGTACAATCAGGTCATAGTAAACTCACTATTGATTACTGCAGGTGCATAATTCCCAGAGGGATTTTCTGTGACTACTAAACTGACACTGCAGATGATAAAAACATCATAAAATACAACATGCTCATTGTTAAGATATTATTGACCACCCCAGGCAAGCTATTATTTTCCCTGGGTATATTATAAGAAGATTACAGTGATTTTTCTATTCTTGCCAGCAGGTTCAGACTCTACAGAGCAGGTGTCTTTGAGACGGAAAGGTTTTATTTGGTCCCTGTTGAGCTGTACATGTCTGGTCCACCTGTGATACTAACTTTTATAGTCGAGCTGATTGTCACAAGATGCTGCTACTGCTGCATATTTTTATTGCAGTTCTGGAAGTTTCTCAGATTCAAGATTTTTCAAAAAGTTTTTAACATTCAAGTTAAATATGCTTACTGTCCCCTGACAAGCTCTAGCTACGAAGAAGGATTCATTGAGACATTGTCCTTGTGTGGGTGTTTAATAGGCTGACATATGAAGTCAATGTACCTTTTCTGGTTTATTGTGACAGAAGCTGGGAGAAGCTTTAAACATTGACACTTTATGTCAAGTGTTAACATAAAGACAACTTAGGGATTGATGTGGCAAACAATTGGGTTTACAGCAGGAACAAATGGTATAAGTGGACTACAGTACTAAGCTGTCCCTTTAATAATGATGAGAACATTATTCTTAAAATAACTTAAATCAGATGTTAGGGTTAGGGTTATGTTTTACATATCTGTGGAACCTAGAGTAGCAAACAAACCTTCCATCCATCCATTTTCTATACCGCTTTTCCCGTTAAGGGTGCAAGCAAACCTTACAGTGACAAAAAAAACAATGAGAAATATCTCTAAGTGGGCTCATCTTTTTACAGCCCAAGAAATGTAGTATTCTCTCCAAATCACTTGGTGTAAATGAGTGTAAATGAGTGACAAGTGTCACAGCACGACCCCTTTATTTGCAAATCATTTGGTCTTGATTCAGTCTGTTGACTTTTGACCAATGACGTAACTGTAGAGTAAGAGACTGTGGAGATGCTAAGAAACTACATTAGCACCTCTAAACTTGAAGTATATTTAACTTAGCATTGTAAGGTAAAAAATACTTCCTATCTATCATATTTAATAGAAACTCAAAGGCACTCTTGTAAAAACAATTTAAATGCCTTTATTTTGACGACATGATGACCATGGTGACCAAAATAGAAACATGCTTGCATTCCTTTCCAAAGAGGAAACCAACATTTTTTTTTAAATCCAGTTAGCGCTCCTTTCTTCATTTTTTGATATCATATTTTATGTTAAAATGACTGCGACCCCACTGCTAATTCTGTTATCCTGTCAATGGCAATTACCATTATAGGTTAGCATCAAGCTAACAATCTAATTTGTACATCCCAGTCTGTCCTCCCCGAGAGATATATGCATGCACTAGGCGCAACTGGTATACAGCAGTAATGGAGTAATATGACATGATTCACGGTTGCTTTTTCATCCATCTAGTTAAAACCATTATTCACTCCTACAATTCCTGATAGCAATGTCTGCCTCTTCAGCATCCAAAAGCTCCTTTGCTCACTGTCTGTCTGCTGTTTGATGCTGGGCAGGCTCCAAGTTAAGGATATTCATTGTTTAAAACAAACTGCATGTTGTAGCAAAAATGTCATGCTCACTACTGGGTTTAGTGTGGATCCAACAAGGAGTTACACATTTTTCAATAGTTAGGCTAAAAAATGTCATTTTGTTGTATCTGTTTATGCTAGCAGGACACATGTTACTGTAGAATTAGCTCTGCTGCTGAGGATCCCTGGCAACTACTAACTCCAACACCACCAATGCATCCAATTACCGGCTCAGTATCTCCACTGTGACAGAAATTGTGCCAGATGTTGCTAGGGACATAAGGGACACTCCAGTGGATGACTTTTGGATGTACCAAGGCTGCTGATTGGCAGCAGATCACCCTGGGCTTCAGGGAGAGATAAAACGCTTCCAATAGTGTTGGAGCAGTGGAGGTGAAACATGTAATATTCCAATGAAATTCAGATACCCAAAACTCTAATAATAAGAGAAATACTCCATTGTGTATGGCAGCTGTGTATGTGAAGTATGACTTCGGTTGTAGGATG